CACGTTGCAAAAAAAATTCTGTTAAAAAAACTTCTTTCTGCCAGTTGACTATTGCAATATATCAGAGGTAGAAAAAGACTGCTCGTATTTTAAGGCAAAGCCTTGATTATCGTAACTGCACTAAAGGTCCACGGATTTTTTTTTTCGGTTGAATATTTGACAAAAAAATGAAAAAAAAATGAAAAAAAATTTCTCTGTTTTATACCTCTACACGCTATGTAATGAAATAATGGGGTAGAAGTGCTTGCCTTAATTCAAATTTGAACATAAAAATTTGCTTTTCACTAAAGTTGAAAGTACGGAATGTATAGCACTTTGATTATCAAACACATTTCAAATTGGCTTTTTTCAAAGGCCTGTAACTTTACAAAAATGATCACAGATGAAATATCTTTTTACTAATTGAGCTTAAGATAACATTTGCAAGCTATATTAACTTGGCTATTGGCAATGCAATCTGAAATTTTCAGGCAAACTGAAAGCAAATTAACCCAGCTTTTACGTTTTTTTTAAACATCAACGTTACCAAAAACCATATCGGGGAATATATAAAAATTAGAGATGGAAGATTATTTTTTGGAACCACCGCAGCACTAAAAGATATTGAGCCTCAATTTAACTAACTGCTTTTCCAAACAAAAAAAAATGACAAAAACAACTGTCAATGAAAACCGTCGAAAAAGTCAAAAGTTAAGAAGCAGTAGAGGACTGAATCATCGATCATTCAAGAAATTGACCGATGAAAAATTATCGACATGAATTGGATGAGGCATTGAAATATAAGTCAACTGTAATAGTATACAGAACTATTAACCATACAGTTGCAAGTTATAAACAAACTAAACAAAGAGTGAGCTCGTTTTAAAGTAACCGGGAAAGTAATTACTATCGAATAGGAACTGAACCTCTAAGTTTGCAACAGATTAAGTAGGAAGCTTTAATACAATGCAGTAAATCATACATTTTTTAACAATTCATTCTTTCTAAACGGTGCGCTTGGGTTAACAGCTCAAAATGTATTGTTTCTGACAACACAAAATTTTTAGGAATCTTAAACCTTGCTGTATTAATAAAAAAGGAAGCAAACAAAATTGCTATTTTAAAATATGGTAAATGTGTTAGCTATCTTAATATATTGAAAATTGTTTACGTATCTTGATACATAGGGTGCTAACGGGATAGTTGACTCCCTATGTTAATACATAGGGTTCAGAACCCCCCGCGTTGAATCTACCCAACTGTACTACTTAGAAGGACTAAGAGGGTTGTTCTCAACGGTAAAATATTCCCCATTTTTTTAGATTTCGATTTTTCAAAAACATTGCGGAATCTGCTGGAGTTCTTCCCAACTGCCAGGTCTGCGCGAATGAATGGTCAGCATTTTAAGCGGCGGACCAATGTTGCATCTCTCAAAAGAAACGAGAGCTCGTTTATATCTAAACTTAAAGATAGACGTTAGGAGAGACCAGTTTTGTACCTAACGAATTGAGACAGTCAATCCCGCTACACTTGAGTCGGCAAAATTGCGTTGTTGCAATCGGTAAAATTCTAGCTGCCTCCTGGTTTATACTTCGAGCCTATTTACTTTTTTTCAATCAAATTTTGTTAAAAGTTTTTTCAACTCAATTCTCACTCAAACAACTTTTCTCAGAAGAGTTCCGATCGAGCTTTTGCATTTAGGAATTGAAGATAACTGCGATCATAAAATTGGTCGAAGTTTTTCAACGAACAGTTTTGATGGAATTTGTAAACCAGGGGCGGATTTAAGGGGCCTAATATAGAGGACCTTCAGCGCCAATACATATAAATTTTGACTTTAAACGCAAGTTTTGGTCAACATTTTGAAAAGTGAGCAGAAACAATTTTTACTCTTAAGTATGGACTTTATGGCGTTTCAAGAGAGGTTGCAGAATCAATTTGCTTGACCCTCGAAAAAAAGTGCGCTCCTGCATCGAATCATAAAGTTTTGAGTCGTCCCAGTGTAACCATATTTCGATCCATTTTGTCTGATTATTTCTGATCATTTTTCGTATATTACATATATATCAATCACGTTCTTTCCTACAAAGCCTAATTTTTGCGCGGTCAGGTTTCCTGTTTTTTAACTTTTTAAAAATTATTACTTTTGGTGAAAACAATTAATTGAAATTCCAAGGATATAAATATCAGGAGAAAAAGCACTCGGGTAATTATATTACCAAATTTTTTATCCGGTCGAATTGTAAATCAGAAAATAGCAGTCACAGTTGTTATCAGAATAAGGAAATTAAACAAATTTTAACAACATTGATTTCAGACTTTTTGTTTCTTTTCGTGCGGAAACAGCAACCTAAATTTTATCAAATAGTTTTTGTAAAAAGAGCCAAATCACCTTATGAAACAATTTCTTGACAAAATGACAATCGTGGGAGAGAATCATCGTTAAAAATATTGATTTTATTGCATTGAGTTGATCATTAAAGTACAAATAATTTGAAAAAAAAACGGTCAAAATTTGCTAGTTAAAAATTGAAATTTATCTCGATAAAAACATTGCACATGTTTTCCGTCAATCAGACGTCGACCCTGACAAAAATGGATTAGGATCAGTTTCAGTATGAAAAATTATTTCGATTAATTTTCGATTGATTTAAGTATGAAAAAAATACCAAGAATAAATAGAAAAGATAAAGAGTGATTTGGGTCGATTGAAAATCAATTTGAATCGATCTTAAAACCCAGCTAATAAAAAAAACGATCCAATTTGATTTTGAATTGACTAAAATTCATTTTTTCTTGTCTAAATTTGGTTTTTTTAGGAAACTAAAACTAATTAAAAGCGTTTTCTTTGATTATGTTCAATGTTTTACTTTCATGATTTTTTATGATTTAATTGCATATTCTTGAGATTCAAACTTGATTTATTTTGACCCTTTTTCCTGACTTGTTACATAGAGTTTTGCCCACAATCTGATTTACAATAAGAATTTTCTTTGATTTCTATGCATATTTTGAGCTCCATTATTTTCGACGTGTTAGAAAAAAAATCAATTTCAGTGAGCCTAAAAATCCATCCAAATCGATTTTTTAGGAAGATAAATTGATCCAAAAGTTTCATGAAACATCAATTTAAATCGATTTAAAATGAAATTAGGTGAGATTGGGATAGATTTAACTGAAATTCGGATGGATTTTAGAAAGTCGGATAATCCATCCAAATCGAGTCAAATCGATTCTTTAGAAACTTAAATCGATCCAAAATTTTCAAGAAAGCTTGATTTAAAATTCTTATAAGTTCGTAAAATGTAGATTGTTAACCAATTTGGATTAATTTAAAATCAATTTAAATCAATCCGAAACGATTTTTGTCAATGCGGCAAGAAAACAAGCAATTTTTAAAGTCCAACCCAGTTATAGAGGTTTTTGGACTAAAAAAACTCATTAATGAACTCAACAATAATTACCCTTTAAAAACTGTGAGAAAAAATGTTTTAATTTCAAACTGGTCGTGTAATTACGTAAATTTAACAAAATGGTTTACATTCTAAGTTGATATTTTGAATGAAGGACGTTTGAGAAGTAATTTAGTAGTTTAATTGATTTGAGGCGAACTTATAGCAGCTAGGCTCTGAATGACTGACATTCTTTCCGACAATTTAGAGTTCCGATCTGAATCTCCCTCGGAAGTTTCAGCCGCAAACCTTTGTCGAGCTTGTTTCAAAATCTCGTCAAGTGTTGGGCTGAGCGACAGCTCCTGATTGGTTGATTTTAGGTCGAATAATTTGTTTACAGGTAGGGAAGTGTTATTCACAGGTATTGTCCCGAACAATTTGCTGATTTGATTTTGCTCACTCATAATAGTTCCGGTCGGTTGATTTTGCAATTCGGTAACGAGTGTGGCGTAATTTTCCATCGAGTTTGATGTCATGTTACTTTCATTCATTATATTTGACTCTGACAAATTAGTCGTATCTTTTGGAGAGTTTCCATTTACTCTGGTTGGTGGGTTCGAGGTAGGGTTTGAGTTAGACCCGCCTGGAGCATTGCTTGTGAAATGTCTTCTGATATGTAAATTCAAGTGATCGGAGCGAGAGAATGCTCGGCTACAGTAGTTGCATTCGAATGGCTTCTGACCCGTATGCTTTCTCATGTGTCGTGTGAGTTCGTCCGAACGAGCGAAGCGCCACTCGCAGCCATCCCATGAGCATACATAGGGCTTCTCGCCTGAAACATAACATAAATATTTAGATGCAGGAGATTCAAAAAATACGCCCATCGACGAAGATTAAGCAGAAACTATACAGATCTCCTCTCCTTTTGAAACCTCAAGCTTGTTTTTTTTTCTCCACAAAGGTGAGATACAAAAAAAAAACAGTTTACGGTTTTAGTTAAACTTTCTTCAAAAGTTTTCGAGCTCTAAAATAACCTTGTTTGGATTGCGATAGGATTCGATCCTCGGATCACCCGACCAATAAAGTAAACCCGTGATTTTGTCCGTTTTCTGTCGCTGGCAGATTTTAATTTTTCTAAGAAGACTGCTCGTATGAGGGCGAAACTTTGAAGGTTGCGAATGACTTTTTAGCCCTATCGAATAGTGTTCGCTGCTAAAATTGATTAAACTTCCCAAAATAAAACATTTTTTTCCCGAAACCATTCCTCCACACGCTATGTAGAGGACAAAGAAGTCAATAGCACGAAATAGATCGCGCGTTAATTGTACCAAATTGGCAATCTTTTAAATCCCAGAACTTAACGAAAAATGATCCCAGATAAAAAAGTTTTATAAATTTGAGCTCAGGGCAACAATACCTTTCGAATGATATAGAAAAGTTCTATCAAAAATTACTAGTTATAAAATTGAAGTTTGTTTGAGGAATAAGTACCACCCCGAGCAAAAACATTCGGTCATTTTATTCGAAAATAGTCGGAACAATAAAATCATCCAAAACTTGTTCCATATGCAGTCCAAGGAAGCGTTTTTTACCAGCTTGTAATTCAATTTCGCCTTCTTATAAGTAGGGGATTCAAATCAAGTCTTCGAACGTGTTAATGAAATCTAATTAAAAAGAGGATTCTTTGAAGCTTAAATTGATTGCGTCACCGACTTTGCCTGGTTTCTTTTGAAGAATTAGCTCGGACGGGGGTCAATAAAATTTAACACTGTTTCTAGGGCTACAGCGACAGAAGATCTGGATCTAAATTACTTCTTTTCACTAATTAAACGCCCCGGGCTCTTTAATTTACACGGCAACTTTGACATGAAAATATTTTGGGCGATCTTGTAGAATGACTTAGGAGGGTCAGCTTAGAAAACCACCCTCTTGGCACAAAAATGGAGAGATCCGTTCGACATAGAAGTGAAATTAATTGGGGCTGGGCTACTATTGCTGACTGAGACTGCTACAATTGAAAACTACATTTGGGGCCTTATTTGGGGAAAACTATATATTATTTTGCATTTTTTACTTTCTCTCAAAACATGGGTTACCAAAATCTAAGCAAAAAACTAGAATTGTTAAACTCCCTTTTGGCAATAAAACTTTTGTGTTTGCCCCCCTAAACGACCGAAAATGCGAAGTTTGTTGATTTTGACTTCCTTTTTAGGTTGTGGAACGAAGCGGAAATGAAACATATGTTGAAACAGCGAGGCAAATGACGTTATGCAAGTGTTGAGAGGAATGCCTCTCAATTAAATTTTAATCTCGGAAATGCCATTTTCGGCACTTTCCATTTTTCTCATATTTGGACATCTGTCTGTTGAGCATGTATGCGTAAATGGGTGTGCTCTAAATTTAACAAATGGGATATCAAATATTGCTTTTTGCCACGAAGTTTGACTGACAATCTGCAGCAATGCTTATAAATTTATTCCTTCTTGTATGTAGCAAAATTACACAGATTTTTTTTAAAGCTTTTCCGTTTTTTAAACAGTTTTATCACACTTTGCTCCCGAAATTTTTTATTAAATATTGATATCTTAGTCTGTTGGCAGATTTTTGGCGCCTGGAAAAACCTTCTGGCAAGTCCAATAGCGTCAGAGAATTGGAAATTCCATATTGAGGTGTGACTAAAAAGTTTCTTTAAAATGTCAAGCCAAAAAAATGAAGTGAAAAAATCTTTACAGCTTTGAAAACGGAAACGCGCTAATTTAAAACCGCCCATATTTCGCGCTCAATCCAAAAGACACTTGATAATTAAAAAAAATTGTTTGCAAATAGATTTTTTTTATAATAAAATTATCACTGTGACTTTTTGTCGACCAAAAGTCGTTGACTTCCACTTAACAGTGGCAGTTAGTCATGTTGGGTTGTTTGTTGGTCATAAAGGGGTGTTGGGGGCTATGGGTGGCACGGGAGAGTGAGTGGGTGGTGGCACAGGGACTGGATTTTGACACTTTGACATTGATTGGCAGATCACAAGTTGGAGAAGTTGTTTTGTTAGTCCCCAACTAGCTGCGGGGGTGTACTATAGCATTGCTAGTTATTTATTTATTAACTGCTACTTCGAAGCTAAGTGTTATTAGTCGAAGAAGGGCATAAAATAGTCCACAATGCAATGTGAAATTAAAAAGGGCAGGGTTTTGGAAAATGGGGGGGGGGGAAGAGAGGTGGGTGTTAACAGAGGCGATTAGGAAAATCAATTTTGAGATTTGCATAACATAAGATAACTGGTAATGATATTATTGCATGTATTTATGGGCTGGGTACATAGTTTATGTGGATATTATGGCAATTTTTCTCTTTTTTTGTTTTCGCCTCCAGAGGGTGTATGTTCGGCGGGCGACTTAAAATAAATGGGCGCGAACAACTGTCTTACAGTCTTACAATATTTGTCACTTGTCAATCATCATCATAACCTGAGATTATGATTTTTCTACCCAAGTGATCGAATTAAGTATCATATGCTAGAATAATAGATGATTTCAAAGAAAAGTGAATTACTTGCGGTAAGAATTCAGAAAAAATGTCTCACACCTGATTGTACACATTTGGTTCTCAAATTTCATGTTTTTCTATCCCTTTTTCGTCTTCAAATTTTAAAGTTATTAAAACGCAAATGCATTTTATCTTGAGAACTGTTTTCTCGTGTTCATTGCAGTTGACAAGCTGGCAATCAATCGTGTTCACGCTCTAACGACGTCTGTCAGTTTAGATAACGGAGCTTAAAGTTGAATATCGGAATATAACTGCAAACATATATTCCACCCCTTTTCTCATTTTACACCATAACACCCTTCCAAGAGAAATTTACCCTCCCCTCCCCTACGAAAGTAACAGCCGTCCCCTTGTTCTAAGCAAACATTTCTTAGCGGCTACAAGACATTAGATGGTAGACTTCTTGGACCCACCCTGATAAATAAGTGCAACGTGGTGCCTTTGAAATTGACACATGTCAACAAAAACATAACATTTACTTTGCATGATCTAGCCATGTGCTCATTCTCAATCGATTATAGCTTTGAGTTGGTACTATATATTCCTAAAAAAAATAAAATAATCCAAACTCCTTTTTTGAACAAAAATCGAGAAAAAAAAACAAGAAGTGAAAAACGATCAAAATAAGGTTAAAGATAATACAAACTTTTTTCGGAAGACATTTTAACAATTTCGATCTCATTCTAGATTCTGTGTTTTGCATCCAAAACGATCTGATAATTGTTGAAATTGACCCACGGGATCAAGTAAACATTCTGGTCGATGTTAACTTGGTCCAAATCCATTATTTTCGAATAAAACCATGAACAGTTAGTTTTTCGCCTGGCATCGTAAACTTTTCAAGAACGATGTCTCATTGATGCATGACATTTGCCGATCGTCTCCACCCATAATTTTCAATTCAATGTGTATAATATCAATTCCTAATTCCTTTAGCCCTCAACCCCACCCCCCCCCCCCCCCCCCCGCCTCAAGCCTATCAGTTGCCACTTACAGCATACCACTGCATACAGTCAATAGTCACAACAAAAATAATGGATCACATCATAACATCCAACCTCTACAGACCAATAGTCAGCCGGGCCAGAAGGGGTAGGGGAGGGGGAATAGCTTGCTGTCAATCAAAGCAACCATCCTTCATTCCGCCCCTCTCAATCACAAGTCACCATCACCATGGACTGGAGCAAAACTACATTACATACCTCCTACACTCTAAACGCCACCAGTCCACACGTATACCATTCCTTCGAGCAGGCCGGTCTAAGAGCAGAAGTTTCCAACTAGTTTAGAGGCTGCATCTTACTTTATTTTCAGCGAATATTAACTTTATATTTAATTTTAATATTTTTTCAAAAACTTTTAACTCGAATTTGTTTTTTTTTCAAATTTTTTTGATTCAATTTTTTATCAGTCACAGTCATAAATTTTTTTAAACGTTCTCTACTGATTGTTTTTTTAATTTTGAGTTAATGTTTAAACAACCGTTCCATATAAAAGCGTTCTGGCTATTTTACTTTTCTGCTAACTGCCTGGCATTGCATTAAAAATGCATTCCCTACTGACGCCGCTGATCCCGCCCTGCTCAAATGTCAATTCCCATTCCCCTTCTACTCGAAGGCGGGGGCGTTACCTTCCCTCGTTCCCTCACTTCACTCCTGATTGACAGGCACACATGATGGATGAATAAATTTAGATGGACGGATTCACTTTCCAAAAGAAAAGAGAAAAATTTCCACCGGGGAAAGAGATGAAAATGCGAAATGGTTGCAAAACACACTTCTACTTAATTTCTGAAAACTCAACATTTGAAGTCAATTTAATGTAAGCCAAAAAATTAGCTAAATCGTGACAAGGGACCAAACACGCCAATTTTTGTCATGAAAATCTGATTTTTTTAATAGCCAAAAATATACCCCGCGCAACGCTAAGAGTTCAAGAAAAAATAAGTAGATAATATATATATATATTAGGCTATGTTTATAAATGATTTGATTTTAGCATGTGCTTCGTAAGCTGAACATAAGAATTTCAGAATTTCATTTCACAGTATGTTTAGCGAATGGTTACGGCCACGGGTGAAAAGAAAAAAGGGCAAGTCAGAGGGCATTTGGGCTTGTCAAGGGGATTAAGAGGAAAGGGGCAGGGTAGTGTGTAATAGTGCTAGAGGGGATCTAATCATAATCAACATGGCCCCCTGCTGTCACCTGTCAAACTGTCAACTTTTGCTGCCAGCCTACAATTATCTCTAGCTAATCATAACTAATAACTAACCATTACTTCCCATCAATCATTCTCTCCATGTCAGAATACAGTATAACAACCATACTTATACAAATTTACTGACAAAATGTGACAACTGCCGCTTTTTTGCCCCATTCAAAACAGTACCCTGATATTATTAGAGGTAAAATGGGCTTACTTTAATCATAAACAATGATTTGACTCTAGAAGATAATGATAATTTAGCCTTCAAATCGGCCAATAAATCCTGTTTACATAAAACGTAGATTTTATGACATAGAAGTTTCAAATAAGTTATGTCGTTTGTAGCCAATTGAAAGCTTATCTCCGCCCAACTTTTAAACAATCTAGCTTGAAAAATTTTACGATTCCCCCCCCGCCCTTCTTCCCTTGTTCCTTCTCACCCCACCGCGCCTGTTTAGCAGTAAAAGTCTTCCTAACGGACAGTCTAATCACAGTTTCACCCTTCTTTTGAGTCAGGCACCAGTCAATCAATCAGTGAACACAAATAAACAACTGCCCAATCTTTTCTCTAAGGTCCTGAGCCTCTATTTTCGTTTTAATTTCCCTTTAGCCGCTCGCTCTTTTTGCCCACCCCCTTTTTGTTCGTTTTATCGGACCACTCGTACCCTTACTCTACCCTCTGAAACAACTCCCATACTCGTATCGAGGGAGCGCGTCATGCAAACAATGCATACCTTATAGCTATGGCTATAAGTAGTAGCGCCCTTCCCTTTTTGGTCCCTGCCTTTCCCAACTATAATAACAACAAGGATTACCCCTTTCCTTCATATTCACTCAATCTAATTCGTTCACGCGCAGAGACTGTCACGAAGAAATGTCACTTCAGCTGTCATGTTACAAGTAGGGCGTAATGCCCGCAGTCTTATTCAGCTAAGAAGGAGGCATTATCAAAACATAAGCAAATACCCTCAAGTCTAATTTTGGAATTTGGGCTAACAAATCAACATAAGCCAACAGCACGTGTTGCGGTTTATTCTTACTTGCTGTTTGTTCATTCATACTTTTCTTGAACAACAAAAAATTGCAAAATTGGTTTAAAAATGTATAATTTAATTGTGGAGTTTTATATACTTGATGGTCGTTCAGGAAGAGTTAATTTTTTAAAGAGTTTTCTTTTTCCAATACTCCCTATCCAAAATGACTCTACTCGTTTGGTTGTACACCAAACGCCCAGTGACAATCCTAAGAAATGAGACGTACTATTACGTATACATCTCACTAATTATAATTTTTTCACTGTGTCAGTACGCATACTTTTCGAATTTTATTCCGTCCCAGCTCTTAATTAAAATACTTGATACTAAAATTTGAACAAATGTGTTAGCTAAATTGCCTAAAAATTATACTTAATGGAATATACGAAAAATGGATGTCCCCTCCCCCAGAAAAACACCCTGCCTTCAATCAATCAATGCTCCGCCCTGTTTCAATCACTCATTCCATGACTGACGCCTGTAACTCCCTCTCTTTTTTTTCTCCCTAGCTCTACCCCTCACTTCATAATCACACTACCACCATACTACTCATCACGCTACCCTAATGCCAATTTACACCCTCTCAAAGGGTCATAGCCTACCCACTAACGCCGAAATTAACTCAACAAATATAGATCACCTCTTTACTACCCCATTTCATACCCCACTCAAATTTAGAATTCCACCACCTCCTCCCCCTCGCGCAGACAGACCCCCCCCCCCACCCCGCCTACACAAACACTACATGGTCGGTTGTCAGACGCTACATAGAAAACTGAAACTTCGCGTTTGCTTCTAGAACTGCGACTAGAAATGATTTTGGGTGGGACGTCTTATTAAATCATGTATTTTCTTATTTAACGTTTCAAGTAAAAATCAAGTCACGCATTCGGCTGTGTTTTGCATTGAGGCATATCAGACTCAGAAAACTATTCGAGTAGATAGAATTCGTATTGATATCAAATTCAGGGCTGTCGACCAACTAGAAAAGGGCGCGGTTTAAGAGGTTGCCGGGCGCTAGATATGACAAGTTATCAGGTAATAAAATGAAGGCATACTGGAAAACAATAATCTCTAACCTAAACAACTTACGCCCGAGTGTACTTAATAGTACTAGTTCCCCTCCCAAATTAAATTAAGAAGTGCTTTGAAGCCACGCCTCGAGATAATTTGCAACGCCAATAGAAATACCATGAGCGGAAAGGAAACTATTACAGCGATAGTTTAACTAACTGCAAAAAACAATAAAATCAAACAACAGGACGTTTCTATGAATTAAAATAAAATTTCGCTCAATATTTTCAAAATTATCAATGAGTTTTTTAGGCCGCCAGAAAAAAAAACATTATTAAAAATTAAAACAAAAAAAAATCGGATGAAAACTGAAGCCACATAAGTTTCTCACCACTATTTGTAAATTAAATTACAAAGAGAGACTGGGTATATTCGGAACAATTCTTTTTCTACAATAAAAATAATTTGTCAGAGAAAAACAGCGGCTACCAGAACATTTTCCGTATGTTGATTCTTTTCCTCACGGATACTCGTTGATTCTTGGGTTCGGATCTTGTTAACTATTTCTTCCCCTATGGTACCCAGTAAAAAATTGCCACCCCTATAAAGCTATAACGAACTAATTCAATGGTTAAGCATATGTGAATTTTGTACCTTAAAACGAATCCCCCCCTTGCAATAGGGTAGAAAATAGTTAACAAGATCTTTGGGCTCTTTTCCTCGTTGGCCAATAACTCTTTGAAATATTAGAATTATAGGTAAAATTACCTGTATGAGTGCGTAGATGTGCCTTGAGGTGTGAACTCTTAGTGTATGTCTTGTTGCATTGGGTGGGGTGGAAATTGCAGTGGAACACTTTTCGCACCCTCTTCGCCCCACTGGCAGTGGTCACCTCCACCTCCTCCACCACTATTCCCCCACCGCCCCCCGAGGACATCGCTGAACCCCCTGATCCGGCACTGAAACATGATAAAAGAACTCAGTTTGAATACGCTAAATTGTTTAAAAAATTGTCAAACAAAAAATATATTTTATCTGGTTCTGTCATCAAACCCCGGCAACGTTCATACATCACATCGTCACTACCCTTAATCAAATTAGGGGAGGTCGCTTAAAGTCATTTTGTTATAAGTAAACGGCAAAAGAAGCCATTTTTTGCTAACTTCATTCCTTATCCTGGTCCCGGATAATCTAAAATCAGAAGTTCAAAGGCAGCAGAAAGAATGTTTCTTTAAAGAACAGATTTTTTTTCTGACAAAAACAGAGAGCAGTTTAGGAGCAGAGGGAACAAAACAATCCTAGATGCCTGTCTGCACATAACACAAAGCAACAAAAACACACACACGTTTCACTGACTTTATGAAGTCGCCTGTTTTTGTTCAAATGACAAAGCGAAGAGTGAAATTCCACAATTGACATTGTCAGTATAGGAAATTGACGTGAACACAATGGGTTCTAACAGGTGTTGTAAAGACCATCGAAAAATACACTAATTGGCACATTCCAATAAATGCTTTGTGAGTCTTCCCCTTGCCGAAACACTAGCCTATTTTAACAGGTTTGCCACTATTGTCAAAAACAAAGGGAGGGGTGATAAATTAAGACTAAAGTGAGAGACTTCTAGGCGATAAAACTCACTCGAGGGGTGACGAAAGAACACTGCTTGGGCTCCGGGCAGGCGACAACCCCTCACTGCTCTCACTTGGGGACGAGGATACTTTCACCTGATTGGCTAGCATTCTGCGCTTCGCTGATTGGTCAGAAAACTCATCGTCTATCGTTACGTCATCTTCGGATCCTCGTTTTAACGAGAACTCTACATCGTCACTCGAGCTTGATTTTGATTGGCTATTATCGTTTACACTGATTTCATCATCATCTAGTTTTGTTTCTTTTTTCATTGAAAACTGATTGTTTTTCAACTTCTGTTTGTTCGGCATCTCAATTTCAATTTTGAGGGGCCATTTGTTGTTTTCGGAGGAATCGTTTCTGCCGGGGTCACTTTTGTTTTCCTGATGGTCCGAATAGGCGGGCGATATGAGCGAAGATATATTATGCAAATTAGGCGAGTGAAATGATTTTGATTTCTCCTTTTCTGAAACGACGCCATAAGTTAAACTATAACACGAATCAGAGCCGGATCCAAGTTTTTATCGAGGAGGTTCGGAAAAAATCTATTCACCCTAAATCCGCCCAGAGTCGAACGTTCACTGACTTTAGGACCTCACAAACAAAACATGGTAGAAAGGACTTCACCTACAAAAAATAGGACCTCAAACAATTTTTTTTTGACAAATCGAAGCTTACCTTGTTTTACGGGTATCAATTTTGGCATCGGTGGATGTTGGGATCCCGACATGTTACTCTTCGTGACTCGGCTTGCTTCAGCTGTCGGTTCCAAGTCGTTTGAGGCCGCTTTGCGAGTGAAATCTAAGGGCGAACTGAAACCAGAGCTCTGTAGATTATTCACTTGAGACAGGGGCGGCGTGAGATTGTTGATTTCTGTAGGGTCCAAAGATAGATGTTGGGAATGTCTAGCCGTGTTCATAAACATGCTCGCTGCCAATGACGGATAACTCCCCAAAAACGCCAGCAAATTCGGGTTCACGAAGTTAGCCGAGTTGTATAACGAGTAGGCGTTGTTCAAAAAATCAACATGATGATCATTTATGCTGGGTTGATGTTTTTCAGACGCGTATTGTGAGGTTAAAATTGATTCGACAGCAACTTTTTGCTTAGCAGCCTGTGTCTGATTATGCTGTTGACTGGGCACAAATGGTTCTTTCCCTATTGAATTGTTGTTGGTGGTAGGGGGGTTGAAGGCCTTTAGTTTCAGGCAGTTTCCGCATGATATGCTGTTGTGGGGAGAAAAAGGGGCAGAGTTAGGTCGCACAGAATTGAGGTGCGAATCGACATTGCGACGACACTGAATGCAACGGAAGGTTCCATTCTTCAAACTGAGTGCCAGAAGAATTTCTTCGTCCCCCCAAAATGGAGAGAGAGCGGGGGGCTGTTCCATATTAGGTGAACACATCTAAACGGCGAAAAAGCAGAGTTTAGTGCAGATGTCAAAAACTACAATGAACTTTGAAGACAGCGTATGTTAAGGGGGATATTTTTTGATAAAAAGTGTTAAAGCGGAAACGGAAATTGGAATTTCCGATTATTGAAATATTTAACAAAATATTATCGACAAAAGATTAAATTTTTGATTATCGATAAAAGTTATATTCATCGAGATATTTTCAAAAGGTATAAGTATGAAGTATGATAGTTGGGTCCCTGACAAAAGCAAGAATGAAAAATGGGTCCCGCAATTTTTGAGAAAATTTCAAAAACACAATCAAACAAACTCTAAACCTGTTTCCGAACATTTTAAGCACAAAATAAATCCTTCAGGGACTCAACTATCATACTTGTACCCTTCAAAAATGTAAATTACTTTGAAACTGTATTGCAAGTAATTCAACAAATTTCAGCAACATTGAACTTCAAATGTTGGCAAACAAAGGAGCAGGCAGCATTATAGATCTGATTTAAGAGGATCCCAAAAATTAGCCGAAAACTTATTCGGATGTTGCCGAACCCGACTAATATTTTTGTTTCAAGCAAAATATGAAGTAAGGAGAAAAATTTTGCTGCCCAGTGTCCCGAGATCTATTGCAATTTTTGTACCAGAAAGACACGCGACCCGACTTCAAAAGTCTGGACCCAAATCACGGATCTCGACCCCGGTGTTATTCAAAGTATAGTTTACCATTGAGGGTTTGGCTGAGCCTGGAAACTGATTTTGATAAGAAAATATTGATTTCTGACCAACACATTGGTCAATCTGCTGTTTCAGTACTGCACCCGAGTTACCCCCGTACACCTGGGGGAAAGAGGCGAGGGAAGCAAGCGCCGCTGCTCCTGCCGGCGAGAACATTTCCAACAAGCGACAACAATTGATAATAATACTATTTTAACAATAAGCGTGGTAAAAGCTAACTAAAGCTACAAAAATCGCAGAGTAAAATTACGAAATTTAAAGGCTAATTTCAAATTTCTCGATTATTTTCCAATCGGATTTTAAAACACGAGAGATGAACAAACAAATGGATAAATTTTTGAATTGATTTAAACACAATTTTTTTTTCAGTAAACACGACTGATTTAGGTCAAAGTCGGTAGTTTTTTTTTCTACTTGTGTGTCTATTAATTTGGAATTTGTGGCGATAGTAATAAATCCGGAGTGTGGCGTGGCGTGGCGGACTGGCTATTGGATTGACGGGAGGGGAAAATGAATGAATGATTGAGTGACAGGTAAAGGACAGGGGAATAGAATAGCAGAGCAAAAAGGGAGGGGAAAGAGAAAAAATTAAGGAAGGGTGGGAAAGGCGGATTAAACACTAGATGACCTAAGACGCCTATAGGTAAAAAATAGGCTGCAGAATTTTCTTGTACGGTATGCTTATGGAACTAGAAGCATCCTAGTAATATGTATGTTGTGTATTATTTGTTGCTGATGCAAGCATCCGTATCCGTCGCATCATTGGGTATTATGGGTATTATATAAGGGGAGGGTGGGAGTTTAGGGTACAAAATGGGAGATTAGGCTATTCACTGTCAAAAATGGACAGGCAACGGCTGAATGATTGATTTGGGACGGAGAAAGGAAATAAAAGACAGGGAAGAGTGACTGGGAATTGTATACTGACTTTGAATCAAAGCGAGGAGGGGGGATAGGGGTGTTAAGGAAAAGGGAGGGATAGTCAGAGTAGCATTAATAGTATTTTTGATTGATTGAACGAGTTTTTTAGGGTTCGAGGGAATTGTAATTTTGTCAGACTAGATAAATGTCATTTATCATTAACTGTCCATATACTCATAATTTAGTCATGAAATCAAAAACAAACCAAATCATCAATCATTCCTGGGAATGGTTCGAAAGTTGAAACAAGAACAAAAGTTTTTGATTTTCTCAAATCCCAATTTCAGGAAAGTTGTTGGACCGTTCAAATAAAACAAATAGAAGGTTCAATAATAAATTCTCGAAATAACTGAAACTTCTGATTTGCCTGACTTTTTTTTAAATCAAAACTTTTTAAATAGGAAAACACAAACAGGTTCGAATGAAAAATATTAAACCGATTCAAGTTTGAATAAAATTTGTAATATATTTATATAATTTGATTCGCAGTATTTTTGTCCCTAATTCCCAAGCTAGCTAGCTAATAAAAACGAATATTACGTTTTAGAAATCGTCCGATTGGCTAATATTTTAGCCTATGGAAGTTGAACGATTTGCGATTTGTTGAACATACGCATGGATGGAACGGAATTCTGAATCCCTCCCTGCCCCAATAAGAACAATCAAGGAAAACCATTAGCTATCTTGCATATCAATGTTTAGTTTTGGGTAAAACTGACTCCTGGAAAGTATTCAGATACTAGAAAATCTTTCAAGTAACTAAATTTAAAGTAACTAAATTTTCAGCTATTTTGTAGCTTGTAACGAACCCCCTTTTGTAGCTTGTAACGAAACGAGGTGGGCGGTGTATAGTAAGCAGGATCCAAAAGTATGGCCAAAAAATTTAAAGTCCTGCACGCAAAAAAACACCAAAAAGATAAGTGCTTGCATGCAAAAGAAAATATTCATGGAATCGCTCAATCGTATAGGCTTACATTTTACCGGCGTGCGGTCTGTATTTAGACAACCGCGTATTCATACTCGTCAGTAAGCAGACAAATACTATATTAACCAATCAGAATCGAGATGAGTAAATAATTGTTATTTAGTAATTTCTTCCTTGTCTCGATTCTGATTGGTTAATACAGCATTTGTCTGCTTTGGCGAGTCTGAAAACGCGGTTGTCTAAATACTGCTACGTAACCATTTTACCATTCATCGACAAGGACTTAGCCAATACGAATCAATCTTTTTTGAAAGTTTCGAAATAGAAATACTCTTTCTTACCTTCAAACTCCGTTGAAAGCTCTCAAATGACTAAACAACTAAAATGTAATCAATTTTCAGAGATTTGCTGTAATAGGCGGGGGGCTTGTAGTTTCTAAGGTTACTTTTTTGGGTTTTTTTTAGTCTTGAATTTAAATTATACACTGCAGGCTCACTCACGAATATGTAACAGCCAGAAAATAACTTATTAGTACTGTTAATAAATATTAATCATCAGATTAGCCTTTGCGTCAATTTTGAACTTCTAGTGATAGATGTTGTAATTGGTTCTACTGGTTTATTAGCGAATAACTAAGTCAGAAAACGTTGAAAAATGATATGATGATATACATAGGTGAGCCGTATATATTGTGTCTGAAACATCATCGGCTAAGTTTGATTGGCATTTGTAATATGACACTTTACCAGGGAGATTTTAATGACTAATTTTTTTTTCATATCTTCTCATCGTTTTCGCATATAGTACGAGCATTGAACTTTGTTGATCATTTTAATGGTAAAAATACAAATGTATGCAATTGGTACAGTCTGTTGTGGTTTTGTTGGTAGAAGACGACGCCCCCACACTGATAGCAGATCCATATGAAGACCATGCCCGTCAATCACATTTTAGCTCCTCTCTTGTAATCTCAACAATATTTTATTCTTCTTCACGTGGACAGCCTTCTATTAAATGTTTCCCTTGCTGTATGAGCCGACAGATCGTCATGGCCGTAAGCATTTCTCAATGTTTGCTTTTCTTTAGCTAAATTATACGCTTCGATTTGGTATTGAAAAAAAAGGAATGAGTCATATTCTTAGGAAAATGACATGTAGATTCAGAGAATTCGAGTCTAGGTCGTTAGGCTAGCTGACCGGTAGATTTGTAGATCAGTTTTTGACTTGAGTGGTTTTTGGTTCGCCACATGCCATAAGAGGGCGGTGTACTTTGATTGACAGGCGTGGTATGATTGAGGCGTCAATCAATCAATCCAACACGAGCTGCAAATATGCTCTGAAGCTAAACACACTATTTCTTGCTCTGAACCAACAATATTGTATTTTGGCGTGGTCACTTTTCTGTTCACGAAAGCTCGTTCAGCCGAAAACAAAAAAACTACGTTATACGTCTGAAAACATTTTACGCACACAGTTTTAAGCCCAATAACATTAGATCTCTTTTCTTTAATACGCTATATTGCATCTCAAATTGATTATTTTTTGAAAAAAAAAATCTGTTTCTTTTTTGGTGGCACCGGAAAGGCTCGGCCAACTGACTCGTCAGTCGCCTGCCTTCAACATTTCTGGTTTCTCTTTTTCTCTCAATCAATCACCAGAAAAAAGTAGCCATATGCACTATTTATCATGCATTAGTTTTAAACTGCATTCAGCTTAGCAACAATGCAAAAGTTGATATCCTGAAACATCAAGAAGTTGTTCCAACCGGACATACATGATGGATGATAGCAAAAAAGACAGAATCTCGCCGTTTGTTCTTAAAAAAGCTCAGAAAATTTTGCTTAAGGTCATAATTTCAAACCACTCGAAAAAACACATGGAAAGATTTTTTTTTTTTTTCGTTTTTTTTTGCAGTTTTCTCATTAAAAATAAAAAATATTTAAAATTATATCCTAAATAGAACCACAATCATAACATTAATTATTTGTAAAATTATCATTCTAGAACCCAGTCTGAGCGATCGTCATTCGACAAATTAAGCCTGTTTTTAGACGTCTCTGAGCGCAAAAAAGTAAGTTTTAATTAGAGATGATGGGTTAGTACTACCGGTAAAAATACTTAACGATACTCGACTTAGAAATTTTTCGACAAGTATTTTGCTTCGTTGAAAACTTGGCCAACTTAATCAAAATTATGAGAAAAACTCAAAATATTAAATTTATCAGCTCATTATTTCCATTTATAAGAGTCTCTAGAAACCTATGAAGAAAATTATTTATTTGATTTCTGATTTCGTGTCATTTTGCAACTTATTTCAAAAAATTTTTAGAAAATGTGTGCCAATTGTAATTATTTTGAGATCAAGTAACAATCAAAGACTTATCATATTTTTTGTGGAGTCAATCACTAATTTTCTATGACTTTTTTGAAAATTTGAAGATGAAGGCTTATCAATTTGAAGATTTCATCAAAATGATCAGTTTCCTAACAGTCACAGGTTCATAATCAACGCGACATTTTTTGCAGAGAAGTTTAACCAGTTCGTATAACTGAAATTATTTTAGATTCTGCGTTTTCATCTATTCTTGCAATTAACATAGTGATTCAAATATCTTTTTTGATAATTAGGACTCTACTTAATCTTTTTCTATAAAAATCAATACAGTCCATGCTGGTTTTGGAAGTCGACACTTATTTTATTGAAAAACTGGTTCAAGTATTTATCGTAAACTCACTCAGCTGCTGTTGATTGAGAATCTTGCGCAAGCGATAGATGATTCTGCGTTATTTATTAACTTCCCATTAACAATTTCAATGTGATCTTCGATTTCCAATTTTGTATTGAGAAAAAACCCAGATATTTGAAAACCACTATTCATTAAAGGTCTTCATTGTTCCTATATATTGAGAAATTGTTCAATCTCATTCTGTTCAGTTATTCTGACTGTTTTGGTTTTAACTAAGTTCAAGTCCAGTTTTTTTGTCTCCATTTTTTGCCTGTGAGTAGAATTCCAAAGTTTATTATCAAAACTATCTTTTCATGCGGAGTTTTAACAGCTTCAATATCGGCATAGTTAAAACATCTGTGTAGTTTTCATTACTTTTTTGTATAACACGATTATTTAGAAGGAAAGTTAATGGTTTTAAATTTGGGCCCTGTACAATTTGAAACTGTTGATGCATACATACTGTTTACAACTAATGAATCTGAATTGAGAATATCATGCACTGGTTCTTTCAGTCTCGAATGTTTTTCCTAAGTCAAAGGAACTACACTGAGCTTTAAGAGCCGGGCTGTCCCAACAATTTTGATTTTTTTCTACTAGAAAAGCAATAGTGTCATCTATTTTTCATTTTCGCCTAAAACTGAACAGATTTTGATGTAAAGTATTTTGCAGAAAGGCAAAAGCTATAAACTTGTTGGAGATTAATCGTTTTAAAAATTTGCCGAGTACAAGCAAAATGGAAATTGGTAAAAAAGTGGAAGGTTCGAGTTTGCTTTTCTATATTTATGTATTAAAATGACAATTTTAAGCGAGCTCAGAAATATTGTGTTGTCAAAACAAAAACCAAACAACAAATCAGGCTCCTGAAATTCTCTTGAAAAATAACCATCGGTGATGCTTAATGTCATTCGTTGTCAACGCTCTCAAAGGTAATTTTTTTTATTTGCTTTTGCTGGCGATGTTCATGTGTGGTTTTAATTGTTTTCTTTTCTCCGTGTTGCTTTCTCAAGTATCTATGACTTAAGTTATCTCTAAGCATTCTATGTAGATGAGAAAATCTTCTTGGCAGCTTAAATCGTTTGTGTTTTGTTCTGACGAAATTGATGAATGTTGTGATAAAAGTTGTTGTTTTTACCCCCGTCTTTTCTCTGGTGTTCACGCATGAAAGCTCGTTCACCATCATCAAACTTCTAAATTGGTTCCTATATTCAAGCTAGGTTAGTTATTAATTGGTAAACTCTCCCAAAAATTAAATGTTTGATATGATCCTCAGTTGAATACCATGATCCTAGGTTAAATACCAAATTAAAGATTAACTTTTGGTTAGGACAGGTTTTTGACAGCGCTCTGTGTAATGTACGCTCAGGTTAAATCTTTTTTTTTACTTTTTAGTACTAGTGCTATCTTTTCACAATTTTTGCCGTATTGTTAGGTTTCACGCTGATATCCAGCATTCTCACTCACGAAATTAATCACACCCAATGTTGTTTTCTTAGCTATCATTAGTCTTAACTTTTTTTTTCGCATATGCATAATCTCAATTTAATTATTACATATTTTCTTGATGATACTTTTTAAATATTCAAAAAACGATCAAATATTAATGTCTCTGTTTACCGAGATGATAATGTTATTTTGGTTTTTACAGTTGTCAGTTCTCGGGTGTTCATGCAGAAAAAAATCATTCGCCATCAGTTACTAATCTGAGACTTTTTTTTTAGCAATGTTCACTATTTTTCTAGTAAATTCTCTGCATGAAGTTTAATTTGGGTTATTTATTAAACTGAAAAGAAAAGGCTCTTTAGAGTTTCTGGATTTTGATTGCGCTTGAAGTATTGTATTTTTTTTTCAGATTTAATTTAAGTTTGTACAGTGTAGTTCTACAGGTAACATTTGGAAATTTTTGTCTTACTTTTTTGTTTCAGCTGAAATCCAGCATCCTCACA